TCGTTTATTTTCAATTTTACGAGAAAAATTGTTATAAAAAAAGTTGTTTAAAATTAAATTTCCTACAATTCTGCTTTTTTTGTACGATCGATTTTTTTCGATTTATACCCGAAAAGTGGGGGTGAATTTTTGGTTATAGAATAACTCGTTTATTTTCAATTTTACGAGAAAAATTGTTATAAACAAAGTTGTTTAAAATTAAATTTCCTACAATTCTGCTTTTTTTTTGTACGATCGATTTTTTTCGATTTATCCCTGAGAAGAGTGGGGGTGAACCTAAGTATTGTATTGTCACGTTTATTATTGATGTTGTACCATTATTTTTCTGTTTGTTTTTTTTTGCTGATTTTCAAAAATGTTATTTGGTACAATTATGATTTCGATTTTTTCTAAGAGTTTACCCTCACTCTTCTCAGGGATAAATACAAAAAAATCGAGCGTACAAAAAAAACAGAATTGTAGGAAATTTAATTTTAAACAACTTTGTTTATAACAATTTGTCTCGTAAAATTAAAAATAAACGAGTTATTCTATAACCAAAAATTCCCCCCCTCTTTTCGGGTATAAATCGAAAAAAATCGATCGTACAAAAAAAAAGCAGAATTGTAGGAAATTTAATTATAAATAACTTTTGTAAAAACTATTTTCCGTGTAAAATTGAAAATAAATGAGTTATTCAAGATACAAAAAATAACCCTTTAAATCAAGCTGGCGGAGGTAACGACAACTTTGGAATCCCAACTTTTTGAATTTAGACTACCACAGACCCCCTCCAACGAATTCCGAAGGAAAATTGCTGCTTCGAATTTTTCAGAATCTCAAGCCTGTTCTTCACCTAATCCGATTGGGCTAGTAATACTAACTATTTAATGACCCACACCTTTTGTCCCGACAGCTAGCCGAAGTGGTCTTCTTCACTAAGCTCTAGGAGAACACTATAACCTTTTTTATGTAACGGTTATTTTAAATTCTAAATAATAATATACAAAATTTAGGTTACCAACTAACACCGATTTTTGAGTTATAGTAAATAAACCCCGTTATAAGGTATAAGTAAGTAGGTATAAGTAGGATAAGTAGGTATAAGTAAGTAGAAGTCGAATAAAAAAATGTTTCCTTTAAAAGTTTCTAATTTTTTTATGAACTTTAAAAATATGTTAAAAAAAAATTGGGACCCAATTTAAAAAAAAGGCCACTTCGATTTGGCCATATTATGGTCAGCTAAAAAAATTAATTTAGCCAAAATTTTTCCCCCAAAAAACTAAAACTTTCGTCTGAAACTTTTTTTTATAAAATACATATTTTCGGCAATATTTAACTGTAAAACTTTAATTTGGACACCCGGTATAAGCTAATAATTTTTTCGATGGTTGAAATTATTATTTTATTTGATTTAGCTCACTTTCGTTTCTACTAAAAATTCAATTCAGCTATTATACCGCGAATAATAGTATGGCGCCCAAAATTCGCGAGACACATAAATCGAATTTTAGAATAGCTATTAGAGTGCTCGAAAATATTCTAGATATTTTTTTTATATGTATTCGAACAGATTTACGAGCAGGTAATAAAATGTTGTATACGTTGAGGGCGTTGAGAGCAGTAATTCACACTGAAATTCCGAAAGAATGTTTCATTCTGTTGTAGTTCAAAAATAACTGCGATTTTTGTGAAAAGTAGTCATTTTCATTAAGTGGATTCATAAAAACAAAATTCTACAAGGCGTTTATCTATTTAAACTATTTATTTATACGAACACGCTAATCTATTTTATTTCCTAATTTATTTATACTCAATACTGTACTAATATACAGGGTGTCCCAATACTGTGTGGAAGTTTTAAATATCCGTTAATATAGAAAATATCAAAAAATGTTATTTAAAAAAGTTGTAGATAACATTTAAAAATTATTTTCGAATATACAAAGTGATACATAATTTTAAATTTGAATTCCTCTGACTTTGCCCTTACAGAAAATATCAGCATGTATGAGGTTATATACTGGGTGTTTTAAAAGTTTTATATGAAAATCGTACTAGGTCCAACCCTGTGTATATTTATAAAGAAAGAATTAAATATCAAACTTTTTTGATGAATTTTTCCTAACGCAACAATCGTGTACAGGGTGAGTCAAAACTAAAATACATGATTTTTTCAATTTTTTTAAATGTTCTCTCCTATATTTCATATACTAAAAATTGTCTAATTATATGTTAGGTTGAGTTAAACATTATCTACCCCGTAAAACAACATTTTAGTAGAATGCAATGTTGGAAAGGGTTAATTTATAATGTAATTTAACTTAAACTTTAGTTGGAATATACTATAGTGGGAGACACACTGAAAATGCGGTGTAAAGTCTTATGAAGCGCTGGAATTGGCCAAAAAAAAAGAGGGCCGGTCTCAGGCAAATTTCGTCACAGGTTTAAATTTTATCTTAAAATTTGTATGTTAAATAATAAACAAAGAATTTCAAAATTACAAATTTATAAGTTAACAAATAATAAACAAATTTCACGCAATTGTTAGTCATCGTCGAAGTCTGAAATCTCACTCTCAGAACTGTCGTTAAAATTTACTCTTATAATGAGTTCATCAACGTTGTCTTGGAGATTATCAGTGACCCACATTTCTTTTTCCGCCTTTACTCTGACATGTGCAACGCAGTTACTCCAATTCTGTATAGTGACATGTTCAAATGTTTCATTTACATTGAATGAACATCCTGTGTCGTTGATTCCATGCCATCTCGATCGGGTTAAGCTCGCATTGATACGGCGGTAAGCGTAAAATGGTTAGGTTAATCTAATGTCGTATTGCTCTCTGTATGAGTTGGTAGCTTTAAACTGCTGAGATTTAAACTATGAGTCGTCAAATAAAATGTTTATTTCAAACAGCCAATTTTTTATTTCGTATTTGTTTCATGAGGTAGCTGAAAAACCAAATTTACGGGAACAATGCGAAGCGTTATCCATAACAACAACGTTCTTTCGTCCATTTTTAGGTAAGTTAGGAATCAGCGACTCCTCAAACCATTGCTCAAAATAGTCATGATAATCGCCATAATTTTTCTTTGCCAAGAAAACACGCGTGGTGCCAGATAAAATTCCACCTCCATATCCTGCATAAACAATAACGAAACGTGGACCCCTTGGGGGGCTGAGTTTATAAAATCGTATCTACGAATATTTATGGTGTTATCACACCATGCATACATATCCATTTGACCCACGTTGACCCAAGTTTCATCTAAATAGATAACGTTACAATTTTGTTGGAGATATTGTTTAATGGCTCCTAAATACCTGTGCCGCCAATGAATGATGTTTTATTCTAATATTATACTGTTAGGACCACGCTTCACATATTCAAAACCAATATCTTTTATCAATCCAAATAGGGTTCTTAAAGAAAAAGATGGTAAATTCTCATTCCGTCGAAGAATATTATAAATTGCATTCAAAGTTGGTGGAATGTTTAAAAAAAATCATTGTGCATAATTTCTCTTGATTATAAGTATTCATTGTTAAGCGATGCCGCGAACATATCGTGGAATTTCAGGTTGTTTGTTTTGACAATGACTCGGTTCATAAACGTAGAACATTTCCAGTGACGTAGTTTCATTGGAAAAACAGAAAACAATAATTGGTTATTTTGTTACATGTTGATTTCAGTTCTAAAATAATTAAAAAATTATGGCATTTAAAGACATTCTTAGTATAAATAATGTAAGTTTGTTGATTTTAGTTTTAAAATAATTAAATAGTTATGGCATTTAAGACACATTTTTAACTTTTTATGAAGCATTGATTTGTCTTGAATAAAAATCTAGGTTAATTTAAAGGATACTGGCATTTAAAACATATTCTTAGTACAAAGCAAGTAACTTTTAATAAGGCATTGCTTTGTTTTGTATAAAACTGCTCTAATTTAATTCGTTGCAGTTTTCTATGTTGTTTTACCTTGTTCTTAAAAATCCTGATGCAAGGGCGGCTCCAGGGGGAAAGCTATGGGGGCCATGCCCCCCCCCCCTTCCTCCTCCTGGCATGAAAATTCTTACGATTTATGGTCCTTTTATTCAAAAAAATATGCTAAAAACGGAATGGCTAAAGGTAATGTCTGCTTGCGGATGGCCCCTTTATGAATCTTTTGCTTTCATCTTATTACATTATTTCAAATATTCTTCGGTATCGTTGTACCTATTTCTTTTGACCAGGCTGTCATTTCTAGTTATCGACGAATTTTGGGTTCTCTCCTTCTTTCTTGAAAAACTGTCGTTCTAGTTTGTACGTTTCGGTAGCAAATTCTGTTCCATGACACGAATTTCGCTGAATAATCCTCTGGAAATCTTAAGAGAATATTTGGTATCCTGTTATTTAGCATCAATATTATTGACTGTCCATGACGCCATGTTATGTTAGGGCGCATTTCTGGAAATATTAGGGTCAATAATTAACTCTAGCTCTAAATAATATTTTATTAGGATGTATCAACACATTTTGGGTCGAGTAAGATAAGTTTTATGGTTGTGGGAATCACCGGAAGTGGGATTTCCAAAATATGTACGGTCATATCCTCTTTGGTAATGTCATCTTGACTTCTAGAAAAGGGGTTAGATAGGCCGTAGCCATGGGGAAGGTACCGGGGGTACGTGTATTTCAGTTTATCTGGCTTTGTGAGCCGAGGATCGTCGCGAAGCACTTTGTGGAAACAAATAAGAAGTTTATCGCCGAGGGTGTTCGGGTTAACCACGTTGCTATGTCGCGTCGGGGTTGATACCCTATACCATTTTTGGGATGAAGATTGCGACCGCGGAGAGCGAAGATTACTAACGGCTCCGTACCCGATAGTACCAACACCAACTGCCCGAATCAGTCAACGTCAGAGGGTTGTGTCAACGTCCTCATTTGATTCCTCTCGCCACTGTTGCTGCGGCCGCTGTTGCTGCTGCTGCTCCTGCTACTGCTCCTGCTACTGCTCCTGCTACTGCTCCTGCTACTGCTCCTGCTACTGCTCCTGCTACTGCTCCTGCTACTGCTCCTGCTACTGCTCCTGCTACTGCTCCTGCTACTGCTCCTGCTACTGCTCCTGCTACTGCTCCTGCTACTGCTCCTGCTACTGCTCCTGCTACTGCTGCTGCAGACATTTTCGACGCGTCTGGGTGATGCACCGTTACATAGAATATCAGTACTAACATCCCTACAGACCCCGTTAAAGGGAGGACTCACTACATATTTTGGGTACTACGCCCAAATTTTGACCCAAAAAACACGCATCGACCAATTATTTTTATGTATTTTTAATAAAAAAAGAACATACTTGTTTTTATGCATTGCGTATAGTATCTATTGCACAAAACAAATATGCGGCGGCATGGCGTTACATCAAGCAACAAGCGTGATTTTTAAGCAGATACGTGCCATTTGCCGGGCCTCTACGGGGCCTTCCTGTTAACGGCCATTATATTGCTCCAATTTTATTTGCTTTATTTTATTCTTTGTACAGTACATTTGCTTTTTGGATTATTAATTATAAAAATATGAAATTATTAATATTTAATAAAAAACTTAAAATCATTAGATTTTTTAATAGAAAAGACATAGAATTCAGTAGAAATGGTAAAAGGAAAAGAACCAGAAAGCCTTAAAAACAGAAAGAAATCAAAAATGGATTAGTACTTACATTGGACTTGTTGATCATCGAGTGAATCCCCCTGAAAAAAATATAAGAGTTTTTTGTCTTTAAATTTTCTGTATTAAATTAGTAGCTTGTTAATATTATAAATAGTATTTCAAAATAAATAATCTCACATATTGCATTCATAAATATGTTAAAACCTAAACATAATAATAATATTTTTCCAAGTAACGTACTACATAGTACATTGAGTAAAAATTTATTTTTCGTCTTTTTTGCTATATTTTGGTTAATATTTAAAGTAATAACTTTGTAAATTTTTTTTCAAACTGTTATATTTCAAAAAGGGGTATGCTTATTTTAATAGCCTAAGTTTATCTAATTTCGAGAAACTTTTGGACAATATTTCAATATAGCAGGGAAAAATCGTTCTTTTCTATTAATACACATCAAATCCTATACCGAACCATGCAATTTAATTAAAAATCCACATGGTCTGGTGTGGGATTCGAAGCCCGTCTGTCTCTGACCATAAACTTGCCTATAAATGAATATAAGCGCATTAGACTGCTACACCACCAACCCGATATATATAGCTTTATATAACTTTAAAACTCTGTATGCTAGAACTAAATAATATTTGACGCAATATTTATATTTATAAGTTGTCAACCTATGATTTAAAACACCCTGTATACTAGGGTGTTTCATTTTGTAAGTAAAAAAATTAAATGTAAAATTTTTGCAGACTTTGTTAAATAGAGTGTAGAATGTAGAATTTCAAGAAGATTGGCCAATATTTAGAGCTTGCACACTTTGACTAGTTTTGTAAAAGTATGCAAAAAATACGACTTTTTATTGTTAATTGTTACAACTATAAATTTCAAACTTAAAACTACAAATTAAGATTATTAGGTAATAGATAGGAAAAACATGTCTTATATTATTTAACTTTGAACGATTCAATCCTTTGTTTAGTTCGCTTGGTGATAACTTTTCTATGATACTCTAATACCCTCAGCAAAAATTGTTTTGTTGTTCATCTCTGACCGATTCGTTAAATTTCTTTATTAGAGCAATTCCTCTTTCTGCCGTATCATTCACAACCTTAAGAGCGTCCACTTGACTTCTAAGAGAATCCCTGCAATATTCTGTCACGTTATAGATCCCAAACAATTTAAAAAACATTTTTGTTTTACTAGTGATGAAATGGCTTAGGTCTTTTCCTTCAAAAACTAAGTTTTTACTGTCTAATCGTTTCATTTCCTTTTTATTCGGAGGTTGGGTTTCTAAATGTTTAGTCATATTTTTCTTTTCAATCTGACTAATACGTTCATCCAAAAAAGCTAATCCTACGTTTGTTTCTGACAGATACCACAGGTGTCTCTTAGCAACAGTAAGAGCACTTTTTTGACGTCTATATCTGGGTAAATATTCAGATGTTGCAGCATATCCAAATCATTTTTTGGAGCCCATTGACTTACAATTGCTTCGTGCCAAAAGCAAACATATATGAGGCTGACAAAATGTGCAACCCTTTTCATTCCTTTCAATTCTCGTTAAGACATATTCAACTGTTTAGTGAAGAGAACAATTTTAAGTTTATAAATTGCTTTTGCTATCCACCTTGCTTGATGCAGAGTTCCTTACCAATGATATTGTCACTTAGCCCAAATCGGTGCACTTCCCGAATAACTACTTCAACCATCTGCTGACCGGTGCCTTTCTCGGCAACATGTACTCCAAGCAAATGCTTAAAATCTTTGTCAGTCACTAGAACTGCAACTCTATCTTCCAAAGTGTTGACATTTCCATGGGCAACTGAGGGCAACAATTCACTATCCCAATGCAAGACCAAAGGAGGAGAATTTTCAAAAAGCGTCTCCTTGATTTTCCTTGCCATTTTTCTTCTATTGACCACCCGAGCTTGGTAAACGGTGGATGGAAATACATCGTGGCCAAGGCTCTTTGCAATTGCTATAGAAGAAGTACTTGCTTGCTTAATAGAGAGTTGTTCTCGATCCCAAGTAGACGTGAGTGTTTGATCCAAAGGTTTTATTCTAGGACTTGAACGTAAGTTTTTTTTCTGGAGTCAAAATTCGTTTTCTTTGCCACTAGGTGCGGATGATGATGAAGATAAGTCTTCCAGTATTACTGTCTTATTCATTTGAGCTATAGCTCTAGAATGTTTATTCTTATATAAATCATTTTTGACTTTTTGTACATTTAGTTCTTATTTTGGAGACGAAAACCTTGTCTAAATGGTTTATCTTCATTCGATAAGCTTGTCATTTCCATCACATTTTGCCGGGAAATGTCATATAACTCGATAAGATCACCTTTCCAAATCTGCCGTTTCATGTTAGCTTTATCGGTGTTTCAAGATTTTGGAATTCTTTGTACAGTTTCTGTATACCAGCGCGTATATTCTCCTCTGTCTTATTAGGGATACTTGCTTTCCTCCACACTTCCTGTACTTTAGTACTAGTAAATTTAGCAGCTTGCGAAAGTGTTTCTTTCATATCCTTCTGATGGTAAATAAAAACTAATAGTACTTGTTCCTTTGAAGGAAGCCGAGCTCCTAAAAACTCACCACTAGGCACCTCTTCTAGCAACCAAATTCCTCTTTTGGTTCCCATTTTAAAGCTCAATTACTTGTATAGCAACATTTTTAACCGACCTCTATTATTAGTTGAATTTTAAAAACACATTAAAAGTTATGTAAAAATAAAAACATCATATTATTTTTAATTATTTCGTGCCCCCCGTAATAAAAACATCCTAACTAACTACTAATCTAATCGAATGGCTAATTTACAAAACGTTAATTCAATGTTAACTGCCGTTATATTATTTGGCAGAAAAGCGATGATCGACTTGTAGCAATTTTCTTGATAGCATTTAAATTAATGAATCAATAAAACATCTACTTAGCACCCATTTAAATTGGCGCTAATATTTACAGAATTTTTACGAGGGTAGCGTTAAATGTATAATAAAAAGCAATAAATGAAAAGTAATTGAAACAACTCGATGTACTAAATTAAAGCATTGTGTATACAGAGTAGCCTAAAAAAACTAATTAAAGCTTAAATATCGATAGAGAGAAAATGTGTTATATACAGGGCCGACTAGAGGGGGGGTAGCCGGGACAAATTCTTGGGGCCCGGGCTTAAATGGGGGCCCGACAGCGCTGTAAGGGGGGCCGACAACAGGTTTCTTTTGTTCTGCATGAGAAAATCGACACAAGATGAGAGAGGGAAATTGAAATTAAATACGTAGAGGAAAAGAGTTGTAGCCTAGAGAATTGAATTTTTTTTTCGACTGAGGACTTTTTTGGAAGAGGAAGTAATTGAAGTAGGGAGAATATTTTTTTTTGATGTGAGGCCCCTTTTTTTTAGAAAAATAATAATCAGTAGAAGAGGAACAGTTGTTGATAAGATTTTTTTGTCACGTGGCCCGATCTAGAGAATTGTCCTGGGGCCCGTCCTGGCTCTCGGCGGCCCTGGTTATATATCATTCAAAATACGTAATTATATTTTAAAATACTAGAAAACCTATTTTACAGAAAAACCAGAACAATAATTATTATAATACTGACAAGAATAAATTAAAAAACGTTGAATTAGTCGTTTCAATTGTTAAAACGCTAAATAAGAGCAAAATAATAAATCTAAAAATAGTACCCAAATCCAAAATTGCGTAAAATTGAGAAAATACAACTAACAACTGTTAAATATCTATCAGTACCTGAAACTCTCTGCAAAAAAATACTAGAAAACATATTTAATTCTTAAAAACTATTTTTACCAAAAAAAAACTAGAACAACAATAATAATAATAACTAGAATGAAGATATATAATGCTTGGCATTCTATATTATACTCTTCACATTTTAACAGACCCCCTTAACTCCCATTTTAAATTAAAAAAAGTTTCAAAATCAATAGGCTTCATTTTTATTTATTTATTTATTTATATATTCTCTTAAAGAACTTGATTTTTACTAAACATTTCATATCGCTTTTAGTTTTTGATTTCTATTTTTTTTTTATTATTTCAACACCCCTTGGCTCCCATTTTATTCAAATTTTTTTTAAATCAATAGGCTTTGTTCTCTTGATGTTTTGCTAAAAATTTCTCGTTTTTGAGTGATATTAACATACATTTTTTAGTAAAATCAAGCTCTATAAGGAGCTGAAAAAAAAATGAATAAAAATCAAGGGTTAAGAGGAATTGAAATATTTCAAAAAAATCCCAACTCAAAAATTAACAATAATATCAATATTAAAAAATGTACTGTGGAATTGTTTTTATATTATGGTGAAAGGAAGCTAATAATAATAATAATAATAATAATAATAATAATAATACTCTCCCTAATTCACCCCCTTACGAGTGAATTTTAACCCCAAAAGCTGATCTTGTGCGGGAAAAGGGGCGGCTATTATTATTTGCCGTGGCGCTCCGGGGCGACTTAAAGATGATTGATGGTGCCATTTGACTTACAGGTGAGGAAAACCCGGAAAACCTCACCCACCATCATCGAGACGGTAATGTATGGCGATTTTTTATAATATGCATGTCATATCAACAGAAATTGAATTTCTATTAATACGGCACACATCAAATCCTATACCGAACCATGCAATTTAATTAAAAATCAACATGGTCTGGTCTGGGATTCGAAGCCCAGCAGTCTCTGACACATAAACTTGCTTATAAATGAATATAAGCGCGTTAGACTGCTACACTACCGACCCGATAAATATATTATACATATATACTTCCATTTAAATTATTATAACAGCCAACTGAAATGCCCATATTAAAATCAACTATTTGCTATCTGTATATGCCTACCTACTATTCACCTTGTACTATATAAAGGGCCACAGCCATACCTCGGATTCTTTAAATAGAAAACCCTTACAATTGGTCGCTCTAGTTTTGAAAAATAGAGTTTTTATAGAATTATGGGCAAACCTTGAGAATAAGGTGTACTTTGAACGAAAATTTACTCACCACGAAGGGAATGATTAAAAATATTTTCTGGTACCATCCTGTGAGGTATCAAATGAAAGCTTTTGCAACCACAATTTTAAAAAATGTATAACATGTTGGTTTGATTCACTTTTTATTTGCCATCTTTTTCAAAAAAACGCTAAAAGACATTCTCAAAAGTAACGTTCAGCAAAATCTAAAAAAAAAACACAAGCCTCGAAAATAAGATGTACTTTGAACGAAAATTATCAAGTTACTTTCCCATCAATACTTTTTAAAATATACGCTGTCGCCTTTTTTCCAAAAGTAACGCCAAAAAAATACGAGAAAATGGTTAGCTTTAAGAACAAAGTGCAAATGAAAAGAAAATTATGTAGATTGCATTTTACATTCAGTTAGTTTTTTATACAAACAAAAGTAGAAAAGTTCTACTGTACTGATAATTATTTATATCAATGTATCAACTATACTTATTTTAAATAACTACGGTACTTGGCCGAATTATTTTGTTAAAAAAATCTACAATATTGAAAACTATTTTAGGATATTCAGCACATTAAATAAAACACATTTAACCTTTTTGCCCATAAATCTATAAAAACTTAATTTTTCAAAACTATAACGTCTAATTGTAAGGGTTTTTATGTTAACGACTTTTTCCAGGGTGCATAGTATGTAGGCATACACATATAGCAAATAGTTGATTTTAACATGGGTATTGCAGGTGACTGATCAGAAAATGAACTAGAAAGAATAATAATGTTAAAGAAATAAAACACTCTGTACATTAGACGTCTATTGGAACTAAACTAATAATAACAATTTAAATGAAAATATATATGTATTAACTTCCTTTCACCAAAATATCAAAACAATTCCATTGTACATTTTTTTTTAAACAAATATGGTCTCACCCTATATATCAGTTGTATGTACAAAAATTATAAAAGCAAATAGAAAATTGTAGTTAGTTCTACAAAAAAAAAGGTTTCACTTAGTTTTGTGTTAATATTTACAAAAACATGCATTTTACGATAATATGAAATAGTGATTTTGGTCACCCTGTAAATCAATAACTGTTAGACTTAGAGCGTTAGCGCACCGGAGATATTTGATCTATGGGTCAAGTTCTACAACATATCAAAATTTCGTCAAATTCTGACCGATAGGTATTTAACATTTCTTAAGGAAATGAAACAACATACGCGCAAAAACTTCGGATGGCCTATTTCTTTATCATGAATAGGTAACTTTTTAAATATGGATGTACTCAAAAAATTGTACTCATCGTAATATAGACAAGCTGTAAGTTTGACGTAAAGGTATTTTGGATCGAATACCTTCCCCATATGCATACTTTTTTGTTCCCCAAAAATTCAATATTCGAACTTAAATTTTAGGACACCCGATATAGTTAGGTACTTATTCAAAAAATGTTCTGTTGCTAACACACACACACACACACCAATATCGAATCAGAAACTCTCCTATTCCAAGAAATAATTCACAAAACAACACAAAAACAATAAAATCATCGCACTTACAGCACTAACCATCTTGATTGAATTATTTAATTATTCTGGATGACCAAGTTCTTCGGAATGTCGGTTATTAAAGAGCGTTATTTTCGTTTCACTGTAGATTATATACCTTGAGGAATCGACTACCACCCGCCACATGTGAGAGAAAATTTTAAATTTAGAAACTTCTGCTGCAATCGGCTATATACCCGACTTTTCCAGTGTTATGGGATAGGAACAGAAAGAAGCGATAAATATAGGTGACAGAATTATATTTTAGAAACCGAGTTTAACCAAGTTGGAAACTGTTTAAAAGTTCTTGAGCTGGAGATATTTCTTTCGCTATTAAAATGGTTTTAGTTCATTTTTCACGCAACTTTTTCATATAGGATTTATTTTTTGTATAAGTGCCTTTATAAATAACACTTTTAGCGACAATACTTGTAAGATTTAAAGGTTCAGGTCCCAAATACCATCATAAATAATGGTAGTTTATTTTATAAGGACGAAAAGTTAATATACTTAAAAAATCTTACAGAAAATTAAATCTAAAGTGGCATTATGTCCAATTTATCTTTTAAGTAAGATGCCTTTGATCGATAAGAATAACTAAAATCTGAATAAAAGAAAGGATATAAGTTTTTGCTTAAGGACCTATTTTTAGAAATGTGATATTGAAAGGTATAAAATTGTCGCGGGCCCCACCTGGAAAATTACCCCGGAGCCCCACCTGGTTCTCGGCGGCCCTGCACGCACTTAGATCTACTCACTATTTGAAATTAAAATAAATAACGAAAAGATTAACTGTAGGGATAATATTATGATAAATAAAATGTATTTAAAATAAATAAACAACAATAGTCGTATTTTTCATTTTTGCAAAATAAAAAAAGAATTACTTCTATTGGGAATTGAACTCGCATCGCGACATGGTTGCGACATGCTAGGTTGAAATAGTTTAACGCTCTATGAATTGAGCTATTAAAGTTACGTCACTTAAATTATCTAATCAAATATGTAAATGAACCAGGAAAAAACAAAAATAATGTAGTTACTTTAAAATTATTTTAATAATTTGTTAAAAATAAATATCTAAGAACTAGGTATAAAAATGAATGTTATCAATTTAATATAGACATTATATAAATCAAGATAGAAGTTATGCGTCTTGTGTATTTGACAGCTTTTGCGGAAAGTATATTTATATTCATACATGGATGGGAAGATTCTTATTTACACTTACACACATGTGATATACTAAATAAACAAAATAATTTTTTTTTTCATACCTATTCAGCCGATTGAGAGAAACCGGAAGTTTTCGCCCAAAAAGAGTCAATGGACGACTTATGTAAGATAAAAATAAAAGTTTCATATATTCTCCAATATACCAAGAATTCTTATATTCTAGCAAAAACAACGAACAAAATACCAAACGAAAAATAAAAAAGATTAAACTTGGTCTTCGTAAACAAAAGCTGTTGAATGTTCCAAGCATATTTATTTTATATGTTCGAGAACTTAATGCTATAATGTGATTGGCGGAATACAAACACACGGAAACTCGGAATCTGTTAAACATGTTTGCTGTACAAACAGTTCGACATTATATCTCAATTTCGTCGAAAGACTTATTAAATTCTGTATTCATTCCAATTTGCACCAGGGGCGCACATGGAGGATTGCAGAACTTAAAATTGAATCTAAATTGCTATTTAAAAGTTAGTAAGGCAGGAGTACCACAAGGAAGTTTATTAGGGCCAGTCTTATATCTATTATAATACACTAGTGATATTCCTGAATTAGAACAAAATACAATTGCCACCTTTGCAGATGACACCGCTATCATGGAGTAGAGAAAACTCACGAGAAGTCTGCAAGAAAACTACAAAAGTCATTAGATATAATTAATAATTGGACCAATCGTTGAAGAATCAAATTAAATTAATAGAACAATGAGTATATACCAGTCAGAATAAATAATACACAGATCCCTTATGCTAATTCAGCAAAGTATCTAGGTATTACTTTAGACGCGAGACTACGCTGGAAAGTCGATGTCAAAATGAAACGTGAAGAACATAAAATTCAGAAAAATTTATTGTCTGATTGGAAGAAATTTTACCCTGTCATTATATAACAAAATATTGTAAATACTAGATCCACCGAAAGAGGTATGGATACTTCAGGCCCACCAGCATGGTTTTTGAAGATGAAAGAGGAAAAGGAAAGGCGTAGGAAGGAAGAAGAAGAAGAGGGAAAGGCGAGAAGAGAAGGAAAGACGCAGAAAGGAAGAAGAGAAGGAAAAGGAAAAATAGAAGGAAGAAAGGCGTAGAAAAGCTAAGGTAGAAATTATGACTGCATTGCTACGAATGTAGGATAACTTCAAGCAGCTTAAAATTAAAGTAGATCTTTTAGAGCAACAGCAAGAGCTTTATAAAGCTAATTTAGAACAGCAACAAGAGCATTTAAAAACTAATTTAAAACAACAAGAAACTGCTAGAATAGAGTTAGGAAGGCAAATTAGAACTAAATTAGTTGGAAATAATAATTCGTAACATAGCTTTGGCAAGCAACAGAGAAACTGCAACCACTACCTCGTCCTCATGTATAACCGAACCAAGCCGTATCCAAAATCCACTTTCACAAAGCCATACTAGTAAGACTATTAAGCCACCCACGTTTGACGGTCAGACAACATGGGAAACGAATAAAGGTCGACACTACAGGGCAGGCGTCGACTGTAACAGAGGGTCCCAAAATTCGCATTTACACTTTAAATAAAAACAAACAAAATCTATTGATCAAGGGGTATATCGATAAACAGAAAGGCACCTTCTTTTATTCGGAGAGAGAGAGATCCTGCATTGAAAACCACGACGAACTCGAAGAAGCTTAGTTCAGGGCACACTACTCCTATTCTAGGTGAGATATCAGCAACCATACAGATCGGCAATACCCTGATAGAACACTTATTTCTGGTGCCCAATATTAAGGATCAGTGTGGATGGACATTATGCAAAATAAGTTATCTTTGGCCTTAAAAACAAGATGGAAACGAGGAAATTGTCCTAGATTCGGAAAAAAAGACACAACCGATAAAGGTCCTAGTGGAAGAAGACATAGAAGTACCCCAAAATCCTGAAGCTGCCGTCTCGGCGAGACTTAGCGAGAAATCACACGGCCTGTATGTGGAAAGTGAAGAATCTGTGACGGAATTCTGGTATCTAGATGTCTCGTTAACGTTGATCAACTAATTCCAGTAAGGGTTGCCAATGTAACGAAGAGACCATTCAAACTAAAGAAAGGACAAGCAATAGGGCTCTGTACACCGGAGGAAAACATAATTAAGTGCGAAGACCGTTCCACGGGGAAAGCTACAAGTAACTCAGTTGATGCCAGCTTTGTAAAACAGCTAGTTAAAAAGTATGCCAACCTGACAGCTGAAGAACTTGGAAAAGTCAAAGAACTTATCAATACCAACTTTGACATTTTCAAGACAGTAAAATCTACGGAGCGTATGTTCCAGTCTTTTTCAGCATAGAATTTATACAGGCGATGCAAGCCACTACGACAAGCCTAGAAGACTTCCATTTGCTAAACAAAAAGAAGTAGCAAATATGATACAGGACATGATGGATGCAAATATTATTGAAGAAGCTTCTGGTCCCTGGTGCTCACATGTGGTCCTGGTAACTAAGAAAGACGGATCTACTCGTTTCTGTCTAGACTATAGAAGATTAAATCAGATAACGCATAAAGACAGCTATCCACTCCTCCGAATAGACTACACACTAAACACTCTATCAGGTACAAAATGGTTTTCTACGCTAGACTTGAAGAGCGGGTACTGGCAAGTGGAAGTACATCCTGACAAACGAGATAAAACTGCTTTTTCAACTGGCAGCGGATTATACAGATTCCAGGTTCTCCCGTTTGGTCTCTGTAATACCCCAGCTACCTTTGAACGTCTAATGGAAATGGTTCTGAAACGATTATCCTGGAAAACTTGTCTAGTATATGATCATGTCAAAAACTTTTGAAAAACATCTACTAAATTTAAGTAAAGTATTTGACAGATTAAGAAATGCCGATTTTGACTGGTATATACCAAAATCGTGCGTAAATATAAGTAAATTTTTATTTATATTAGAAACGGACTATTTAAGTGAATGCGAAATTGTGGTTATGCCGCTTATAACAAAGGTTGAAGAAATACTAATAGCAAGTACTTCAATAATTTACAACCTATCAATATTGCATTTAACAATTCTCCAAAACAATTTCTTTTATTTGTATTGATATAACGTTAGTTATTGTACATCCCACGCCTATTTTATTAGTAATATGTCTTTCGACGTATACATGTTACCTATCTTTTTTATTATTTCCTGTGTGAATTTTAAATTTTTATAGTTTTTGTGGATTATTTAAAGAACTATGAAGATCTGTTAAATTTTTTTTTGGCACACTCAACAAATAAAGGTGTCGTATTTTGTTTATGTTCGCCCAATTATACATTGTCATTTTGAACCTCATTGGCGTAGATTAGAATTATTTATAACAATAAAAGTTTTACTTAAATTTATAGCATTCTTACAGAAGTAACTTTTCGTAAAATGTAATATTTATTATTACGTTCCTATCAGATGATAAACTTTCATATTTTTAGCTTGGAAATAAAATTTTGATAGCTTTTAAACGACGCATCGAAAGACATATGTTTTTAATATTCTAAATATCAACATAGACAGATGAAAATGTTTAATTAAATTGGCAGAACGTAGAGACGAATTTAATTTATTGAATTAAATAAAATCGCATTTTAAGTAAAGAGGGTATGGCTTATTTCTTTGATTAAATAATAATTTTCCAGTAATAGTATTATGACAGTTGCAACTTACAAAAACAAATTTAATCTCGCTGGGGATAATTATTTATTTTAGCCGAACTCATTACAGGTTTGATTCGAGCGGCTACAAAGGTAGTACGATCGTACTTTGATGGGACAGTAGATGGTAAACCACTTAGACACACTTTGCTAGATTTTTCCCCAGAACTGGGGAAATTTGTAGAGTGGATCTGACACCGCACCGAATGAATTAATAGTAAGTGCGCCTAATATATAATTAAAAACGTGTCAAAAAAGGCAACACCGCTTCGTAGATCATCCAGATCGATAGATTTATCATAGATAATGTTTAGAAACGACTTATAAAATTATTTTATAATACA